CCCTTCATGTTATTCTCCCAGGGGATCCTGCCCATCAGTTCCCTGAGGGAGTCAAAGTCTGAGATCCCCCCAGACCTGCCGCCCCTGTGCCCCCACCCATGACCCCCGACAGCCCCCCCCCAGCAGACACTAACCCCCGTCCCCCCCCAGAGCCAGCGGCTGGAGGAGCAGCGCAGCGACCCCCCCATCCCGCTGGGGGCCCAGGAGCTCTTCGACCTGCTGCTGCGGGTGCAGGGGGGACGCATGGAGGAGCAGCGCTCGGAGCTCCCCCCTGCCCTGCTGCCCCACCCCTGCTGAGCCCCCCCCGAAGGGCAGGGGAAGGGGGGGCCGAGACCAGGCCCTGCTCGCTGCAGGAATGGGGGAGACAGCAGCTGAAACGGGGGGCGCTCATTCCCTCCCCAGCCCCCCGCTGACAGCTGAGAATGGACACAACTCGCTGTAGAAATGGGGGTCCCCCGCCCCCCCTGCTAACACCTGGGGGCTGGGAATGGACACAGCTCATGACGGAAATGGGGACCTCCCCCGGGAAGCCCCGACTGATGCTGCTGGCTGAGACTGGCCCCAACTTGCTGCAGGAATTGGGGGGACCCTGCAGAGCTCAGCTGAGAACAGGGGGCTCAGTGCACAGATGGGGGACCCCAGCCATGTCCCCCCCACCCACAGCAACGACCAGGGGCTGAGACCAGGCCGAACTCGCTGCAGGAACGGGGAACCCCCCCACGCCTGAGACCAGACACGCCTCCTGATGCCCCCGGGAGGGCTGGATCAGAGAAAGACCAAAGATGGGGGCTCCTGCCCCCCCCCCGAGCCGCCCCGGGCGGGGGATGGGACCAGAGACTCAGAGTTTTCTAAGCTAATTCCTGATGTTTGTGAAAAAGTAAAAAAACTGCTGGGGCAAAGGGGGGTGATGGCCTCTGATTGGGGGGGCGGGAGCCAGGACTCCTGGGTTCACTCGGGGTCTGGACTGGGCAGCGTCTCCCTGCGCCTCAGTTTCCCCCTCTGTCCCCCCCCAGACATTTTATCCCAGTCAGAGACAGAGGCATCAACTCACTTTATTCTCCAGCTGCGTGTGGGGGCGTAAATGGGGGTATAAATATGTGGGAGAGGGCGGGGGCAGGGGAGGAAGAGGGGTTGGTGCCAGGGGGGTCACCCCCCACCTGTCCCTCTGTGACAGGCAGGGTTGCAAAGCCCCGCCTCTTCCTGCTCCATGACATCATCGCAAGGCCCCCACGTGTGACATCATCAGTTCCTGGGAGTGTAACATCACTTCCTGCCTGTCGTGCTTTCCCATTGGGCGCTGTCACGTCCTGTCAATGATGTCAGAGCCCCTGAGGCTGTCAGTGTCCCGGGTGACATCATTTCCTGTCCACTGGGTTGCACGTTATGACATCACCATCTTCCGTGTGACATCATTTCCAGTCTGCGACATCAGCATCCCATGGCATGTCACCACACCAGTGTGTGACCTCACTTCCTGTCTCTGACATCATTCTCCGGTGCTCGCTCTGCCCGCCTGGTGATGTCACAGCCCGGCATGGCCACACCTCTCTGCTGTCCAATCCGAGCCCCCTCCCCGGCAGCACCCTGGGGGCGGAGTCACTGCACCAGGGCGGCGTCCGATTGGCCGGGAGCCCAGGGCCGGCAGGGCGCGAGGCAGGGGGCGGGCGGCTCCGGCTGCTCCGAGAGGGGGCAGAGCCTGGGGGGGCGGCGGGGCGGGGGGCCCAGGCGGGGGTCGTCCAGCAGGCAGAGCAGGTCGTGGTGGGCGCGGGAGAGGGCGGCGTCGCGGGGCAGGTGACCCAGCTCGTCCGGGAGCTGCCGGCTCGCCCGGTGCCGGAGCAGGATCCGCGCCACGTCCGCGCTGCCCTCCCGGGCCGCCAGGAACAGCGGGGTCTGCGCCTGCGGGCACGGGGCGGGGGGGTCAGGACGCTGGAGGGGGCTGGGAGCCAGGACTCTTGGATTCTCTCCCCGGCTCTGGGAGGGGAGTGGGGGCTGGTGGTTAGAGCAGGGGGCTGGGAGCCAGGACTCCTGGGTTCTCTCCCTGGCTCTGGGAGGGGAGTGGGGTCTGGTGGTTAAAGCAGGGGGTGCTGGGAGCCAGGACTCCTGGGTTCTCTCCCTGGCTGTGCTAATGGAGGACCCCACCCCCCCAGTCCCGGCCCCGTTACCCGGTTGTCCTGGGCGTCCTTGCTGGCGCCGCTCCGGAGCAGGGCGAGGGCGGCCCGGGCGTTATTCACAGCCGCAGCCCAGTGCAGGGCCGTCTTCCCTGCCAGGCAAGGGGGGGTGAGACAGCGGAGCCAGGACCCCCGGCCAGCCCCCCCCCCCCCCCCCCCCCGCCCCCCCCCCCGGCGCCCCCTGCTGACCCCGTCCCCTCGCCCAGACCCCCGGCGCTCCCTGCTGGCCCCGTCCCCTCGCCCAGGCCCCCGGCGCCCCCTGCTGACCCCACTTGTCGGCAGCGTTGACGGCCGCCCCGCCCCGCAGCAGCTCCTCCGTCCCACTCTCCACCGCCAGGCGCGTGGCCAGGATCAGGGGGGTGGCGCCGTCGCTCATCCGGGCGTCCAGGTCCGTCTGCCGGCAGCAAATCAGGATCTGGGGGGGGGGGGTGTGCGTGTGACATTAGGGGCTGGGCCTCCAGCCCCATTCCCCGCCCCCTACCCCATGTGGCATGGGGCATGGCTCTGTGGGGCAGCCATCTTGGATTGTCCCCCATTCCCCAGCTAGGGCCCACTGGGATCTGCCCCCTGCCCGGAATTTCACACTTGATTTCTGCCCTGGGAACGGGGTGGGGGCGTACCAGAGTGGGGGGGCTGCGGGTTTGGGACTGGGGGGCTGTCTGGGAGGGGGAGGTTAGGGGGTTGTGGCTGGATGCTGCAGAGGTCGGGGCGTGGTTTGCACCAGCCATCAGTAGGGCTCAGAGTGAACAGCCCAACTCGGGGGGGGGGGGGGACAGAGTAGCCACATCCAGCTCTCTGCAGGACTAGACAGGGACTTGGGGGACAGATCCCTCATTCCTGTCCCCCACCTCCCACCGCCCTGCCCCCGCACCTGGCAGGCCCCCAGGGCGTCGGCCCCGATGGCACTGTGCAGGGGGCTGCGCCCCGCCCGGTCCCGCGTGTTGGGGTCGGCACCGGCATCCAGGAGGCTGCGGACGGCGCTGGCCCGGGCGAAGCGGGCGGCCAGGTGCAGGGCCGTCTCCCCCGTCGCGTCCGTCTGGGCGTCCAGCCGCGCCCCCTGCGCCAGCAGCTCCCCCACGGTGCCCCCCGCGCACACCGCTGCCATCAGCGGCGTCACCCCATCTGCCGTGGTGCGGAGAGACAAGCATCAGGGCGGGGGTGGGACTTCCCCCTTTCCCTGCCTGCCCTGGGGCGGGGCTTCCTGTTTTCCCACTTCCTGTGGGTGGGACTTGCCTCCGTCACCGAATCCCTATAGGGCGGGACTTCCTCTTTTCCCCACCTGCCCTGGGGGGCTTCCTGTTTTCCCACTTCCTGTGGGCAGCACTTCCCCCTCTCAGCCAACCTCTAGCATGGGACTTCCTCTTGCCATGGGGGGCGGGACTTCCCCTTCCTCTGCAGGCCGGGACTCCCTCCTTTCGCCCACTTCCTGCAGGGCAGGAATTCCCATGTGTAGTGGGCGGAACTTCCTCCTTTCCTCTGGCTCCTCTGGGTCAAACTTCCTGTTTTCCCACTTCCTGTGGGCAGAACATCACCCTATCATCCCCCCGGGGTGGGACTTCCCATTTCCTGTGGGCAGAGTTTCCTCCCCACCCTGTACTGGTTCTGTGTATGTTTGAGGATACAGGGAGGGGGGACCCCACCCTGCCCCTCACCTGGCCCCCTGGCGTCGAGGTCCCGCCCCTCGGGGTCCTCGTCCTGGGGCGGGGTCAGCATGATGCATTGTGGGATGGGAGCCCCGGCGCTCAGGTGCTTGGGTGTCCATTGCCGGCAGTCCTGGTTCGAGGGGGGGGCGTCAGCCTGGCAGGAGGGGGATGGGGATTAACGGCCCCCCAAGTGTTATCGCCTCCCCACCAACCCCTGGCTTTGGGGCTCCCAGCCCCTCCCTCCGGGCGATGCCCCCAACGTCTCAATGGGAAGGGACGGGTCCCTGCCTGGCCTGCCGGGGCTCCCAGCCCAGCTGGGGTCACCCCGATACCTCGATTTCCTGAGGGGTCAGCTGCCCGTCGTCCTCCAACTCGGGGTCCAGCTTCAGAGGCCTGGGGGGGAGAAGTGGGGTGAGCGTCCCAGCCTGGCCCCCCAGGGGGCGCCGTGCGGGGGGGGTCGCTGTGTCACTCACTTCAGCCCGATGGCGTCCTCTCCGACGGGGTCCCGGCGGCGCCGGGCGTTGGGGTCCCGGGGGCGGGCGAACCCCGCGGGGAGCCAGAGCACCCCCTGTTTCCTCGTCCCCCGGCGGCGCAGCCGGAGCCCTACCACGGCCCCCAGGGCCAGCGCCAGCCCCCCCGCGAGCAGGCTGCCAAGCAGGGGCCAGGGCAGCCGGGGGGCAGAGGCCTGGGGGTCTGGGGGGGCAGAGGCCTGGGGGCCTGGGGGGGGAGAGGCAGGGGGTGAAATTGGGGGGGACAGGCTGACCCCCAATGACGGATCCTCCCCCACACCCCTCTTGGGACCCCTTCCCAACCTGGCCCCACGACCTCCCACCACTGCCTTGACCCCTCCCTGTCCCCCCGGCCTGCCCCCCCTTGAGTATCCCTCCACGATCCCCCCCAGCCTGTGCCCCCCACTGCCCTGCCCCCTCCCCAGCCCCCCCTTACCGCTGCTGGCCTCTTCGACCCACAGGGCCGCCAGGGGGTGGGGGGTCAGCGCCCCCAGAGCGTTGGAGGCGGCCAGCGCCCCCAGGAAGCGCCGGGCGCCCTCGGGGGTCGTCAGGCAGCGCCCGGCGCAGCGGGACCCATCCACCACCAGGAACACGACGGACCTGGGGGGCGGCACGGGGTCAGGCTGGGTCTGTGGGGGCAGCTCCTGGGGGGCTGCTGGAAAGGGAGGTTTTGGGGGGCAGGGTGTTGATTGGGGGATCGGGAGTGGGAGGGATTTGGGGGGGTCTCACCCGATGGTGTCCCTCTCCCCCATGGCAGGTCCCGGCAGTTGGCTGGGGATTCAGGGGCTGTGGAGATCGGGGGTGGGGCAATGGGGGATTTGGAGGGTCGGGGGGATTTGGCGGGTCAGGGGGTGTGGAGATTGGGGTGGAGGATTTGGGGGTCAGGGGAATGGGGGATTTGGGGGTCAGAGAGATTTGGGGGGTTAGGGTGTGTGGATATTGGGGTGCGGGAATGCGGGATTTGGGGGTTCAGGGGAGTCTCACTCACCCGATGGCGTCCGTCTCCCCCTCCTGGCCGGCTGCGGTGGGCGTGGGGTGCGGGGCAGGGCGGGGGGATCCCAGGGGGGGCCTCCAGCCGGTGCGGTTCCCCCCGCCTGGCCCCTCGCGCCCCGTGTAGGGGTACAGCCTGGGCCGGCCCTGGGGGTCGCGCCGGGGGCTCAGCCCCACGCGCAGGGCCAGCGCCAGGGCGTGGAGAAGGCCGGGCAGGGCCGGGGGGGGCAGGGCGGCCGCCAGCCCCAGGGTGGCCCCCTCCCGCACTGGCCCGGCCCCCCCCAGGGCGCAGTCCCCCCCGTCCCAGCCGCACTCGGGGGTCAGGCAGCCCCGGTCGCAGTGTCCGTTGGCAAAGTGGTCGTGGCAGTAGCGGGCGTAGGCCGGGCTGGGGACAGAGACACGGGTTGGGGGTACCCTGCAGAGCTCCCTGGACCCACCCCCCACAGCTCCCCGGGTCCCCCAGATTCCCCCAATCCACCCCCCACAGTGCCCCCCAGGATCTGCCCCCACAACCCCCCGGTCACACCTATAGACACCCCCTGAACCCCCAATCCCTCTCAGTCCCCAATGTTCCCCTGCCCGGCAGCCCCCCAGATGCACCCACTCCCCATCCCCCCAATGAGACCCCCCCATCGCAGACCCCATCCACCCACCCCAGCAGCGAGTCCGAGCTCAAAGCCGGCGCCCCCGGGGGTCAAGCCCCTGCCCCGTTCCCCGCCCCGGCCCGGCGCCCCCCGAGGCCCCTCACCTGCAGGTGGCCGGGCGGCAGTCGTACCCGTCGTACAGACAGGCCTCGCTGTCGCACTGGGGCTGGCAGTGCCCGTCGCGGAAGCCCGGCTGGCACAGCTCCGGGCACCCCGCCCAGGGCTCCAGCACCCCCAGCGAGCAGTCGCCCCCGTCCCAGGCGCTGGAGGGGGAGCTGCAGGCCGGGTGGCAGATGCCGTCCCCCGCCAGCTCACCACAGGCCCCCCCCACCCCAGGCTGGGGGCAAGCCGAGCCGCCGGGGGGGCAGGGTGCCGGGGGGCGGGGCTGGAGGCAATCGGGGCCCCCGTAGCCCCCCGGGCAGAGGCAGCGGGGACCGGCTGGGGGCTGGACACACACCCCTTCGTGGTGGCAGTAGTGGGATCCACAGGGGGGCACCTGGACGTCGCAGGTGGCACCGCTGTAACCCTGGGGGTGCAGAAAGAGGTGGGGGTCAGATGGATAATGAGGAAAGGGACCCAGGCATCCGGCGAGGGAGGGGCAAAGGGACCCAAGTGTCGGGCAGGGGAGGGGGAGCAGGGAAAGGACCCAGGAGTCTGGCAGGGGAGGGGAAAAGGGACCCAGGCACTGGGGTCAGGGGAAGAGGGAGCGGGGAAAGGACCCAGGAGTCCGGGGGAGCTCACCGGAGGGCAGCGGCAGGTGAAGCCGGAGGGGGTGCTGCCCGTCACAGCACAGGTCCCCCCATTGGCACATGGGTTTGATTGGCAGCTGTCAATCACTGACTCACACTGGGACCCTGGCGGGGGGGGCACAGGAGGGTTAGAACAGGCCGTCCCCAGTGCCCCCCCGCCCCCCAACAACCCCCCCTCGATCCCCCACCCCCAACGACCCCTCCCCCATCCTGCCCTGGCCCCCCGCCCCTCCCCCACCCACTTACCATGCGTGCTGGGGGGGCAGGTGCAGTGGGAGCCGGTGGGGCGCTGGGAGCAGGTGCCCCCGTTCTGGCAGGGCTGGGGGTGGCAGGGGCCCCCAGGCCCCGGCTCTGAGCAGTTCACCCTGCGCTGCCCGGGCGGGCACTGCAGTGGGGAGAGGTCGGGGGTCAGCCCAGGCAGGGTCCCCCCCAGCGCAGGGCCGAGGGACCCTGGCGTCCGGGCAGGGACCCCAGCGTCCGGGCAGCTCACCTGGCAGATGTAGCCCCCAGGCCGGGCCAGGCAGGTGGCCCCGTGTTCGCAGGGATCCGGTTGGCACCGATCGGCCTCCTGGCGGCAGGACGGGCCCCCCCAGCCTGGGGGGCAGGAGCAGCGCGGGGTCCCCCCCCCGTCCACGCAGTGCCCTCCGTTCCCGCACAGCTCCTCCAGCCGCACCCCTGGGGGCAGAGCAGGGCAGTGAGCCCCTGGCTGGAGCTGCCCCCCACACCTCCCAGAGCCCCCCGTTCCCCCCCACTGCCCCCCCCATTCCTTCTCCTTGAACCTCCAGACCTCCGGCCCCCCACTGCCCCCCCTCCCCAAGCTCCTGCTACCCCCTCTCCGCTCCCTTCTCCTTGAACCCCCAGCCCTCCTGCCCTCCACATCCCCCCAGCCCCCATCTCCCCCCCACTGCCCCCCTCC